CACCATTTATGTGGCAGACACCAGATCCCCTTTTCAGGGATTCCTCCAGACAGCTGGGTAAAGAAGAGGAATTATCTGGAGTCTGGGGTGGTACTACAGGAGACACTGGCTATCTCTCCAGAAGAGACTGATTGCTGTAACCACTGTACAATGTTCAGGAACTTGTCCTCAGTTTCATTGAGAGCATCCTGTACACCCCTTACCCTATCCAAGTTGAAATCCCCCTAATAAATATCAAAAAACAAGCTCAAGAACTGCTTACTGACTCCTGAGTGCAAGTCGGCGTGGAAATGCATGTTGCCTGGCTGTGCAGGGCTATAGGGGATCCAAATGCTCAGCAACTCGTAAGAGGGTAGTGCTACATTAGCCAGTGCTGTGAATAAGGAGGTATCACCAGTACTCCTGTATGGGGCCCAGGCCAGCAGGGGGGGCCCAGGCAGCTGCGTGAATCAGATGTGGGCAGGGATGGTAACCGACACGGTGTGGGGCAATTACTGGAACCAGCAAGGGAGAATGTCACCAGCACACCGAGGATCACCAATATAGGTCCAAACGTTTTAATGAATGAACACATAGTTACAGCAAGGCAACGTTTCGGAGTCTCGCAGGACCCCTTCATCAGGCATATGACCGGTCATCCTCCCTTACTGATTCTGTTCGGTTCCAGCTAACGGTCGCTGCAGCACCCACACCACACAGACATTTTTAAACGCAGGAATGTGTGCATTTGGATTGTACACTTGAATTACTGGAACCAATCCCCTGTATGGCTCTCTTTGCAACAGCTGAAAGCTGGCTTCTGCTCCTCTCCCTCCCACTGGCTTTCAGTTGCCTCAGAGAGAGCCAAACAGGGGGTCAGTTCCAGTAATTGCCCCGCCACATCCATCCCCCTCCCTCTGCATGATGCAATTCCCTCTTCTGTCCAGGCCCCCCTGCGTGCCCCACCCCCACAGTGCTGTCGACTTCCCTCCTCTTCCCAATGGCAGCTTCAAGCGCACAGTAGGATCCTTCAGGATGGAGTGTGGGAGAAGTGTCCAGTAAATATGTTACCTTTACTAGCCCTTCCTCTACTGAAAGAACACAATGAGGGATCAGGAACAATCACTCGCTGTGTTCACTCATAAAGAAGCATAGGAATTTTTTTTTTTTGGGGGGAGAGGGTCTCTGTCAGGTTGGCTGTATGGGGCCCCATGGTTTCTAACAGCAGCCCTGACATTGGCTAAACTGAAAAGTAATTTTATCATTGCTGTTTTGATTGTGCCAGCCACACTTGTACTGTTTTTCTACCTCTATAAACTATATTTGTGAAAAGTGATTTTATGGTTTGTGAAGGAATAGGAACTGAACTAAATGGTTCTTATTTTTGTATGCATGGAGTTCTTTCTACATGCATCTTACACTCAGGGTTCTCATTGGCCTACAGATGCCTCTACTGCCTAGCAGGTATCAGTCTGGCCCTGTCATAACTACTAATACACATTTTTCATGCTGTGACTGTACTTAGTATATGCAATGCATTCAGAGTTTTGGAGTTACCTTGGTGTGTCCAAATTTATACTGATTGTGATCAATATCAATGGAGGCCAGGAGCTTCTCGCAGGCCTTCTTACTGTCGATGAAGTGTCCCTTAGGGATGGCGCTGGCATTCAATATACGGTACCTGTATAGTCAAGCAGACAGAATATGAGAACCACACCCTGGATCATTCAGCAGTATGTAACAATGTATGCCTGTAGGGAGATTAATATAATAAAGGAGTTGGAGATCCACACAGGGATTGTCCAACACATCCAAAGCTGCCTACAGACATCAGATGTTGTCAAGCCAGGCCCACAAAATTCAACCATCATATGATCTTTATTATAAAAAAATATCTAGAAACATGCCTTCTGTGGCACATCTGGCCATCATAACTGCCCATAAATAATGTAGATCAAGAACTGTACTTCATCAACACAAATGTGTGCACTGCCAGGCATTTTCATAGACTTTGGCCTGGTATCTTCCTCACTTTAAACAAATTCTCTCTTTGGTAATCTCCAGATTTAAGTTCAAAGACACCCAGCCTCACCTTTGCTTGAAATCTCCATAGAGGATCCTGTTAGGAAAACCCTTCCTGCAAATTCGGATTCCCTCCAGCACACCGTTACACCTCAGCTGATGAAGTACTAGATGATGGTCCATAGCACCTGACAGGCACACAGTGACAGTCACTCTTCAGAAGCAACACATTCTGAGACTGGCCTTGGCATCTCTAGCACACACACAAAGCATACCTGGTGTTTTAGTCTCATTAGGGATGAGACACCTTACAAAATGGGGATGAGTGGTCCTCAGGTTAGACATCAGTTTGTTGAGGTTCTCCTGCAGGTTTGAAATTGACTTTATTTCAAGAAATCACTCTGCAGTTTGTTTTTTCTGATAAATCTCTCCCAAATTGACACATTAAATCTAACCCCCACCCCCCTTTTGGTTGATTCCCAATCACTATTTCCTTTAAACTATACAAAGCTGCACATGCATCTTAAATCTTGAAATTTTTTATCCATATTAGCCTGTGTGCAGAGATTTTTGTCATGAAAAATACTGTCTTTCACATTTTCCTAAGAGGATCAGATCAGATTACCCTGAAAAGTGCTGACACAGTCTGAAAAGATGATCCTTTCTTCTTTGCTGCTTTCTTAGTTCCCTCACCTAGAAAAGACAAACGTATAAGATTTACTAAGGCGTTTAAAAAATAAAACAATCCCACCATTTATTGGATCTTAGGACTCCATCCTGTAGAGCAATGGTCTCCAAACTGTGGCCCATGGGACGGATGTGGGCCTTTATCTGTCTTTATCCTGCCCTTGAAGTACTATTCTTTCTGCTGATAGAAGGCACTATTGCTTCCACTGACAGTAACAATGAGACACCATTCCTTTTGCTGCACAAACAGCAGGGCATTATTACTTCCATTGGCATCAACAATGGGGCATTATTCCTCCCATTGGCAGCAACAATGTGTGGCATTACTACTCCTACTGATTCTAATGACAAAGCATTTTTCCCACTGGTACCAACAATAGAGCACCCCACTAATACTAAATAAAGAGTACTATTCCTCCCACTAATATCCATGATAGCCCATTATTCCTTATCCTACTGACCATAGGCATGGAGCAATATTCCTCCCTCTGACACCAATTATGAGGCACTGTTCCCCCAGCTGACAACAATGATGGGGCACTATTCCTCCCATGGACACCAATGATGGGCCACTATTCCTCCCACTAATACCTGTTATGGGGCACTAATCCTCCTCTAAATGACCACATGTACTATGCAATTTTCTTAGTCCCACTGACCACCAAGTTTGAGGCATTGTTTTATTCCCACTGGCCACAGTCTATCACCCCCCCCCCCCCCAAAGTCTGAAGGACTTTAAACTAGCCCTTCATTTAGAACATTTGAAGACCCCTGCTATAGAGAAACAGCAATGTATAATATAGGTAGTAATAATTTATGAACATCCTGTGTTCCTGATCCTCAAGACTCTTCTTCACCAATGGAAGTAAGTTCAGTTCAGTAGACAGCAGCCAAAGGATTTTCCATTCACATCATTTTAAAGTATACACTATCAAATGTCTTCTCCGTTGATTTAGAGTGTAACTATCAAGCACTGGTTTAAGGTTCATACCTGGCCCAGCTCTTCTTGCCAAACCCCTATACTTTCCTTTAAATTGATAGCCAAGGAAAACATTAAGGTGGAAGGAGATATGCCAGGTGATTGGCCATGAAAGCTATTGTGTATTTTTGTGAAACAAAATGCACAATTTTTGGGGATACCTAAGCACTCTATAGATAAACCAAGAAAGTCTCTCTGTGGACTTGGAATCATCTTTGAATGCAAGTGGAGCCCAAAGGTTTACTTTAAGGCTTGTGTGATATTTGTTTGTAATGCATCAAGGAGGTATGATAGGTCTATGGTTTATATTTTGCACTGGGCACAGAGACATGTATATGAGATATTGAGATAAAGAATTAATTTCCAAGTATGTGTTACTTTATGTCATCTCAAGACAATCAGCCTTATGTAGTGAGCAACGCCATTGAGAGTTAACAAGTGACCAAACAGCCATAGCTGTAGTATAAATAACAGTGGTACCCAATAAAAACATCTACCTGTGTCAGCTGAAGAATAGGTGGCATACAGATTTGCCAAAATCTTCATGGACGATTTCTGGTAGAGTCCTACTACAGTTTCATTCAGAGGGTCCTTGTTCTTCTCCAGCCAACCCTTGATGTTGTAATCCACTGTCCCAGCATAGTGGACGAGGGAGAAGTGAGCCTCAGCTTTACCTTTGGCCACTTTTGGTTTCTGAAAATTGCTGGACTTGCCCAGATGTTGGTCATGCAGCTTGTTCTTAAAGGAAGTGTCAGTCGCCTTGGGAAACATGCACTCTTCTTCCAGGATGGAGAAGATGCCCATTGGCTAGTGGAGAAATACATTCTTAACATTCTTAACCACCCAACCCGTGCCCTTCGCTCCTCACAAGACCTCCTACTCTCTAGCTCCCTGGTCTCCTACTCCCACGGCCGACTGCAGGACTTCTCCAGGACCTCCCCCATCCTCTGGAACTCCCTACCCCAATCCATCAGACTGTCATCTACCCTCCTCACCTTTAGGCACACCCTGAAAACCCATCTCTTCAGGGAAGCCTACCTCACCCTCACCTAACAGCCATTCTCCTCCACTCTTCCTACCACTCCATCCCCCACAGCCACTTCCTCCTGTACCTCTACCCCCTCCCTCCTAGATTGTAAGCTCGAAAGAGCAGGGCCCTCGTACCCCTCGTGTATTGTATTTTTACTGTATTGTCTCATGTACTGTCCCCCCACTTTAATGTACAGCGCTGAGCAAACCTTTTGGTGCTATATAAACACTGTATAATAATAATAATTCTCTTCACTAGGAGGTGGTCATTGAATTATAATAGCCATCTACTTACCTTCTCAATAAGCTCAATGCAGGCTGCCAAGTCCATGCCAAAGTCAATGAATTCCCACTCGATTCCTTCCTTCTTGTATTCCTCTTGTTCAAGTACAAACATGTGGTGGTTGAAGAACTGCTGTAGCTTCTCATTGGTAAAGTTGATACAAAGTTGCTCCAAGCTGTTGAACTAAATAAAATTATATATCTTAGCCTAGCGCCAACAATTTCTCCCCTTTGGGGAAATGAAGGAACAATTGATGGAGATTATGGTACATGAGAAGTTTGCTTCCATACTTAATGACGCACATGCCAAGTTCTTGAGAATCTGGGATCCGTGGATAGCCTGCAACGCTAATCTGAATCTGGACCATGTTCTACTCTCAGTTTAATAGCACTCTCAGTGTCTTTACACCTACGCCTCGGTCTGGACCCTGCGGAAACCCCTCTCCCCCCTATCCCCCTCCGCCCTCTCTTTTATTTTCATCCTTTTCCTACCTTCCTCCCTCCTTCGCCATCACTCCCTCCTTTTCTTACAATTCTTTCCTCTACTCTTTATTTCGCCTTCGCAATATGCAGACTATCTAGCCCTGTACTCACATCGATATGCTTACTTCGGCTGGCAAGAAGCAGGCCCTGTTGGATGGGGCTCTGGCCTCATCTATTGGCAATGAGTGCAGTCACCACATATTGTTCTATCTGCGGTTCATTGACCAGTGGCCCAGTATTTCTACACACTGTTGCCTGTTGCTTTCAATAGCTGCATCATGTTATTTCTTGTCTCTGTCACATTTGTATGTATTGTTACACTATGCTCTTTATTGATAACTCCAAAAAAACCCTGAATTTTTTTTTTGTAAAAGAAATGATATATCTTAATGATATTGAGTCTGTAAAAAAAAAAAAACGTATTTATAGTGGCTTATTATAAATTTTGCAGCATATCATGACTGCCGGATTGTCACTAAGAAATACCATTGCTAAATGTGTCTGGAGGCTTCCTTCAGATGTGCAAATGTACCAAATCGACAAATACACTGAAACTAGATAATTCCCTCTTCCTGGACACTGTGGTAATTTGATAGGCAGGTTATTCTCCCTGGCAAGCAGCACTGATAATCTGGTTTGTATAAATATTGTGTGGATTGCAAATACTGTAGATTTCCGCCAAGCCATTTCTGGCACTTTTTGTTTACATTTTAAAATCTATTTTTTGCTAGAAAACATCTTAGAACCGCCAAACATTATATATTTTATATATAGGCATAGAGTGTTCCAGCTTCATTGGGCAGGGCATACAGACCCAACCTCCCAGAGGCAGGGCAAATAGTGTTTCACCTTGTCAGGGCCTGGACCTGAACCCAAGATATCTGCTGTGTCTGGCAGTAATTCTTCTGACTGAGCCACCTGAGATGCTGGACAGGTCCCTTCTGATCCATTTGTACCTTGTTTTTCATGAACCTGGAACCCTTTGTTCCTCCCATGAACTTCCCGATTTAAGCCATGTTTCTGCTCTTCCTATTTGCTAGATTTTGATGCTCTCTCCAGCCAATATCTAGCTCTTGTCAATCCTGCTGCCGTCCATATCTTTGCTACTACTCGTTACTTACTTTTGGCTTGTACTTTCACTATGCTTCTGTGTGACCCCAACCTGAAACTACTTGTTACCGACCTTTGGCTTGTTTACTGACTACGCTTCTGCCTATTCCTACCTGCTATATTTGCTACTGGACCCTGGCTTGCTCACTTCCTGGTGGGGCGATCCTGAGGGCCATGACCTGGTACTAACATGCAGCAAAACCCATCTCACTCATCTCAACACTGGTTAGTACTTAGACTTTGGAACCTCAGGTGAGGCCATGTCATCCGCCAGGGTGACCTACTTCTGTACTTACCCAGCTAGTCAGTGGTTGCCTCTCTACTAGCTCCTAGCTACTGGCCTCCAAGTCTGACCCTGACCTGCTATAAGTAGGGCATAAAGGGTTTCACCTCTTATAGGAAGGGCATAGAGTGTCCCACCTCCTACAGGCAAGGCATAGAGTGTCCTATCTTATAGAAGCACGGCATATAGTGTCCCACCTCCTACAGACAGGACATAGGGTATCCCATCCCTTGTAAGAAGGGTATAAAGTGTCCCACTTTCCATAGGCAGGGAATAGAATGCCCCACCTCCTATTGGCAGAGTATATAGTGTTTTATTCAGCATTCAGAGTTCCATCTCTTATAGGCAGGTCATATAGAGTACCATTATAACCAAGCAGGGCATTACCCCAGAGTTCTGTTGTACCCACCCCCCCTCACAATAACAGAAAACACAAGTGTATAACAGGGGCGGACTGACAACTCATGGGGCCCCGGGCAATAGGGGATCATGGGGCTCCTGTGTCCTTGCCCAAACTCAAAAAAGCCTATGAAAAAGGTACCAGGGGCATCTCATGGGGCCCCCTACTGACCCCGGGCCCTCGGGCAGTGCCTGAGTTTCCAAGTGGTCAGTCCGCCCCTGGTGTATAATAAATTACTAGTAGATAACCTGTTGTCTGTTTTATTACCAACCTCAAAGATTTCAAATCCGGCAATATCCAGCACACCAATGAAATGCTGTCTAGGAAGTTTGGTATCAAGTTGCTGGTTGATACGGGTCACCATCCACAGGAACAGCTTCTCATAGACAGACTTGGCAAGTGCGTTCACATTTTGGTGCACCTGGATATAAAGAAAATGGTTTGATGATGTTCATCCAAAACAGGGGTGACAGATGAAGACGGTGCCAACTTGTATAATAAAACCTACCTGCTCTGGAGTCTGCCCCTTAGTCACATACTCATTCCCCACCTTCACCCGGGGGTAGCAGAGCGCCTTTAGCAAGTCTGCAGAATTCAACCCCATGAGGTACGCTGTTTTATCGGCCACTGGAATACAGAGATGTCTCGTTTAGAAGCCATTCCAGATAACCAGTGAAAAAAAATCATAGTTGATCACATTCAGACTTCCACTGTGGCATTGGAATGTTTATGACAGGTAGCATGGAGGGCGCGCCATATTACAAATCATGCATATTGAATGTGCAAGAACCTCCAGAAAATCATTTTCTACGGTTCCAAAAATTTGACTTCCAACCAATGACTGAATAGAAGATGATAGATTAGATACTTCAGATAAATTAGACAAACTAACCTTCTGTCCCATCAGGCTCAGCCTGCTCTTCCCACGGTTTTTGCTTGAATTTCATATTGCCATAATGGATAACGGCACCGGTTAACTTGTAGATTCCGACCTTCTCCTCAGGAGTGAAACCCAGGATATCAATGGCATTCTGCAATTCCACATAAAGAAAAGACATATAGCCTGGTACTGGAATTCTGACCTCCCTGTTTTATCAGAATATCTGTGACAATGCCATGGATTAGTATTTTGCCCATTTCCTGATCTCCTTACATCTGTAGCCATCAGCTCCTCAGTGTCATCAATGCTCGCCACAGAGATCTCACCCTGGCTGATGTACGGAAAGTCATACGGGTTCGTTGTGATCAACAGCATGTCTGAAATTGTACAATGACAAATATTTTATTCCAATAGTGAATAGTAGACCTTTATTTCAGTAATTGTGACAAAATTCTAAATATTCTACACAAACATGAAAATACCATTTCCTGGTCATGTATGCAGTAATGGCGCTGTACAATTTTGTTTGTGGACAGTTGCTCTTTCCACCATCATCTAGCACTCCCCTCCCCTGCCCTCTACTCACCGATCAGTTCCGGCTTCTTGTTGGACAGGATCTGATAGAAGATGTGATAACTTCTTTCTGCAGGTAGCTGAAAGGTGACCCTGGACTTCTCCAGCAGATCTGCAGTAAGGGAGAGATTTGGATGCTACAGCTTTCCCATATGTTAATGGTTTGATACATCAGATCATTATCAAAGTGTATATTGCCACCAGACCAAGAGATACTCACACGTTTCGATATCTGCAGAAGCCAGTTTTCCAGTGGTGCCAAAGTGAATACGAATGAATTTACCCTGTTTGTTGACACAATAGTCATGAAAGCAACATATATATCACCGCAATAACTACCAATATGGCAGAAGTGGGCCAAGGACAATGATCATTGTTATTCTATGAGTGTCTAAGAGTTTGGTGACAACATTTCAGTTCTTTTGCAACTCACAAAAACTTTAACGTTCTCACAAGCATAAAATGATCATCGTACAGTGTAGCAAAACCCTAAACCCTTCCCTAAGCGTATCTTAAATCAATCCAACACCTATCAATAACATTAACTTAATGTCTAACCAAAAACCATCTTAACCCACCCCAAAACCATAACCCAGGCCAATCCTTAATCATAACTCCAACCCAGTCTCCAGCAATAATTATTAACCCACTCCTAACCATAACCTAACCCAACCTCCTATTCTGACCCAATACCTAAACATAAGTTGATTTAATGCCTAACCATAACCTTACCCAAAAACCTTACCTATCTGTCAGGAATGGACTCAGCACTGGTGGTGGGACTCACCTGCCGTGTGGGCTGCAGTACTAGGGCTGACCAGTGGGTGCTCTCAGCAGCCAGAAGCTCACTTCTGCAGTCAGCCAACACCTGGGGCTGATTGCAGAAGGTGTATTTAAGGAATGACCAGGCCTGTGATCTGCGCCTTGGTGTAAATGTTTCCCATGAGCCCTTGTATCCTGTTCCTGTGTTTGCTGTATACTCCGTTGCCGACCTCTGCTTGTTACTGATCCTGCTCCTCTCCTGTTTAACCCCTGGCTTGCCTGACTACTCTTCCGTCTGATCCCTGGTACTGTATTTGCTCGCACCCTGCTGAACCTGGCTTGTGGCCTGACCATTCTTAGCTCGCTCCTCTTGTACCTCGCTGCCCGCATAATACCGACCCGGCCTGTCTGACCACGCATACTGTACCCGACCTTCCATCCATCCATCCGGCTCGGATCAGACCAGTGTATCTGTCTGCCTCTTCCAAATTAGATTCCGTTCCTGCACTCCCCTGTCAGTACTCTCTACCACCGCAGGTCACACTCGGGGGTCGTGACCTGGTTCCAGTCTGCACCAAGTCCATCCCCACCATCAGGGGCCCTGGTGAACAGCAGGCTGGGACTTAGACCCCGTGCCCTGAGGGCGTCCGTGCGGTAGGCTGCTAGCGACTCTGCCAGGCGGCTTAACAGTACCAAACGGCCTGCCTGACCATTCCACCTCTCCAGCCCTGACTACGCCTGTGTTCTTGAAGCCTGCTACTTCCCTGTGTCAGTCCACACATTTCTGGTCACACCCGGATCCCTAACACTATCTCACCTAATTATAAGCCTAACCCAATTAAGTGCCTGGTCATAATTCCAATGGAACTCTAGCCATAACACTAAGTCAACCCCTAACCATAGACCTAACCAACTCAGCCACTAGCCACAACCCAGCCTAATATGTGGGTTAACCATTATCCTAGCCCATGTTATTCCCTAACCATAATTTTAACTCAAAGTCTAACCATAACCCAATCCAGACTAATCTAACCATTAATTATAACCATAACCCAACTCCTAAATATAACTCTAGCTCCAACTCCAAACCATAACCTTAGCCCAACCCAACCCTTAACTATAAAACCCTAGCTCCAACTCCAAACCATAACCTTAGCCCAACCCAACCCTTAACTATAACCCAGGGGCGGACTGACCATTTGGAAACTCAGGCACTGCCCGAGGGCCCGGGGTCAGTAGGGGGCTTTTTTGAGTTTGGGCAAGGACACAAGGGTCCCATGATCCCCTATTGCCCAGGGGCCCCATGAGCTGTCAGTCCGCCCCTGCTATAACCCTAACCTACCAACCATAATCCTGACCAAACGCTAACTAAAACTATATCCTGAACCCAAAGTGACCCGTAACCATGGCCATAACCCAACTACCAACTGTAAATTTAACCCAACCCCTAATTATAACCCTAACTTAACCCTTACCCATAAAACAAACCAACCCATAAAGCAATTTTAATCTACACACTAACTGTGAAATCTGCGTGTTAATGCTAACCCATAATTGTAAACCTTCACGTTCTCCCTAATATGGTCCATCCTGATCCCTGGGGGTCATCAGCTGACTGAGCTGTTTGCAGATAGTCATTTAGTTCTGCACACTGCTGCGCACCCTCAACTGTTTTTCTTCTGCCTATACCTAAAACATTCTATACATTTTTTCTATACTGAGCTAAGAACACACATTGACATACAAAAAGTGTATACAGACATCATAAGCGTCTCAATCTCACAGTTTACCATTGAGGTAAGACTTTCAGGGAAGCAACCCAGAGCAACAAAGCAACATGAACATTTGCAGCTTTACATAAAAAGACATAAATAGATAAAACTCACAAAACGTGATGAATTATCATTCCTGACAGTCTTGGCATTGCCAAAAGCCTCCAGCAGAGGGTTGGCCTGGATGATTTGGTCCTCCAGGGTGCCCTACACAGAAAAGATTAGACTGGATTAGAGGAGTAGGTCTTCTTTATCAAGGATGGGCCAATCTGCCCTGATTTAATTCACAGGGTGGTTTGTCCAATCCTGTTTTTTTTTTTAGTTTTATTTTAATGTGAGAATGGGATTAACAATTTGAAGAGGGCACAACAGTTGGGCAATAAGTCAATACAAGAAAGGCCAGTGTGTTAGTACAGGTTGAGAGCGAGCTAACAATGCTTTTAATGCTTCAACTATGAGTCCGAATATGAACATTAAAAAAACACTTGAATGGACGGTGACTGTGCAAGTGGGTAGCATGCAAAAGGAAGGGGTGGGGGGAGGCCTTTCTTATTAGATTAATAATTCAGGAATTTGAAACAACAATTGGGGGGTCATTAGTTAACAGTCTGAGTTGATTCCATTGAGTTTTTTGGAAGCATTGCATCACAGAGTGCTGAGATTCTCTGGGCTAGGTTTGGATAAAAGACTCCCAAACATCCCAAACAAAGAACTTTTGAACCCCTAATTCCTTATGCAAGGAGTCCTCAGCCCATTCCATAAGAAAAACTGTCAGATCCTGTTTAAAATTCGATAAACTTAGCAGCAAATCCCACTGAAGTGTATGGGGGGTGGGGGAAAATCTAGAGACTAAATTCTGCCCATTTTTAGTGCTAATGGGCCACAATTTAAAAGGGAGAGACGAGGCAGGTTTTATCTTCAAATAAACACTACAGTGTATTATCTGAGAGACAATAGCCAAAAATATTTTGTGTGGCAGGATAGGACCAGAACACCAGAATAGGCAGCAAACTTTGAGGAACGAAGAAGAATTTACACTGCAGCAAATATTACACATTTTTCAGCTGAAGTCAAGCAGCAGAAATATAATGTGGCACCTTTACAGTGCCAAAGAATTGGAATAGACCAGGAGAGGTGTCTGGTAATAGTGCCAAGTATTTTTTTTTTGGAGCAGGTGACACATTTAATACAAGCCTGGAGTTTCGGCAGCAGGGTTTTTTTTGGTCATTGGTAATCCAAACCAGTTCAATTTATGCAATTTGCCTCTCTTAGGAAATCGCACCTGCTGCACTGAAGGCCCTCTTGAACTGTCCATTGGCTCTAGGGCAAGCCAAAAGTTCCAGCACAACTGAGCAAGCTCTGGTCAGTGGTCCAGCCTGGTCGCCCATTAGTCCATGTGGTTCAAATCATAGTGTGCTGATGGACCCGATGTAGTCAGTAATCGATTGGTTTGGGCTTGCCTGGTTTGCATAGGCAATTGATCATGGGGCGATTACCTGCAAATGATCTGCGCTGGACACAGACTGCGGGCTCTGGACACAGCATGTAGCTGTGGGAGCCATCAACCTCACATTGTTTTCAATGGGGCTTCCTGTCCACAGAGAACCCCTACTGCGTCTCTCGGAAACCGCCCCATTCACTAGTTTGAATGGGGCCTTAAATTGAGGGGCTAGCTTATTCAAAAAGCTTCATTAATGACCCGTCCAATCCAGGTGACCAAGTTCAAAGGTCAGGTAGTGCATTCCGGCTACTAATAATTAGTTCTGGCACATTTCGGCATTAATCCACCAGAATTGCACATTTTTAACCTACTGGATCCACCGCTAACCCAAACTCATTTCAAGTCTTTATCCCTCAATCCTTGATTTCTGTTGTTAGTTTTGATGCAAACAGTAATTAGTGGACCTGTCATAACTATTTTATGGCAGTTTATGTCATTGTATAACATGCATACATTACCTTCATCCCACCTGTGGATTCCTTCTTTTTCACATCACCCACTGCTGCAATTGTTGCAAAGTACTGGATGACGCGTTTTGTGTTCACTGTCTTCCCAGCACCGGATTCTCCACTGCCGAACACAATGACATTGTATTGAGGTATAGAGAAAACCTACAGCTTTACCCATTTATGATTGGAGCTATCCTTTGTGACCAGAAGACTTTAAGTGACTTTAGATATTAGCACTGTAATGGAACTGTCCCCAGACTGCACTTGGGTACTTCCGTTAGGATACCGCTCCCCTGCCCGAACACCGAATACTTTATTTTAACACAAATACAAGATATATACATTCAAGGGAACAACCCCCCCCCCCCTGCATAATGACACAGGGTGGGGCAATCTACCTTTAGTAACAAGAGACACACCAAAAGAAAGTCCCATCAGGAGGGAGAGCTGCTGGAAACACCCCCCAGCAAGCAAATACACAAACACATACATCCTACAATAGTTTGCTCCCAAGCAAGACACACAATAAAACAATGGGATGCAACCATATGGCATTAAACAATCAACAACCCCCCCCACCCCAATATTAGGACAGATCACCCTGTACACATAAGAGGGATATGGGGAGCTGAGACTGGAGTCTCCCCACCTCTCCAAAGTGAGCTGTGTTCCATGGACCCCCACCCAAAGTGACTCCCGTCACAAGCACCATAATTGTGGCATGTATTTCAAATTTAGAATGTTTATAAAATGAACATTTTCTACTTGATAACTAGTAAATTACAGAATTGGTGAAAGGTTATAATAATCCTATATTATAAGTTATAAAGATACGCACGTGATGAGGATAGACTGGTTTTCACGATCTGGAGGACAGAAAAAAAAGGATAGTTCTGTTATAATGTAACAATATTAATTCCATCAAAGATATCTATATGACATAACAATCAATACATCACAGCTATCTAGAAGATTCAATAAGATATATCTTTATGTAACAACACACCAGAGATATCTATATAATGTAACAATATCAACTCCATAACAGATACCTTGAAACTTTGACCAAATCCAAAGATATATACTGTATAATGTGACAATACATCAGAGATGTCTACTATATATAATATAACAATATATAATCTGTTAGTGATATCTAGAAGATTCCATCTGAGACATCTATATAATATATACACTGTATATAATGTAACAATATAATTTCCATCAGAAATGTCTAAAAGATTCCATCCAGCAATATCTATATAATGTAACAATTCATAAGAGATATCTAGACAAAGCTCTTTCTAGCTTCTGGCCAGAGTAGAAGACTGTGCTGTGCCCATTATGAGGGGTTCCCACCATCCCTGTGCTGAGATCCCAGGTCTGTACACCTGCTGTGCCCATTATGAGAGGCTCCCACCATTCCTGTGCTGAGTTCCCGGATCTGTACACCTGCTGTGTCCATTATGAGGGGCTCCCACCATCCCTGTGCTGAGTTCCCAGTTCTGTACACCCGCTGTGCCCATTATGAAGGGTTCCCACCATCCCTGTGCTGAGTTCCCAGATCTGTACACCTGATGTGCCCATTATGAGGGGTTTCCATCATCCCTGTGCTGAGTTCCCTGGATCTGTACACCTGATGTGCCCATTATGAGGCACCACAATGCAAATTCTTCTGATGAGAAATGGGATGCTTTTTTCTTACGATAAATTTCTAACTAATTTTTGTTTTCTGCTCCTATCTGCATTTCAACTCACCAGTTAGCATGAACTGATAGGCGTTGTCAGAGATGGAGAAGATGTGGGGCGGAGCCTCCTGACGCTTCTTGCCACGGTAGGCATTAACCACCTCAGGGTTATACACGGGCAGCCACTTGTAGGGGTTCACGGTGACACAGAACAGCCCAGAATATGTCTGAAATTACATATTTTAGATATTTGTTAATTACATCTCTGAGTTGAAAATATATGATCGGGATTGTAAATTGGATCCCATAAATAACTTAAAGTGGAACTAAACGCTCCTATTCTTCACAGCCATGGAAGCTGCCATCTTAGCCTCTGTTTGATCTGCAGTTGGCCTGGTACTGCACATGTGGTCAGTTATGATATCAGAAATTTGATGGCTTGACCATTTGGTTACGAGCATAAGCAACTGTGACCTTCTCTAAGCCATTTCATATGGCCCTCACACCCAGGGCTTTTTTAGCTGGAAAATGGAAGAGTGGTGAAGAGGTCAAAGCTGCAAAAGAGAGGTGGAAAAGAAATATGGACAGCCTTTGAAAGAGAGATGAACCCTGCGCTCTGTGCATAGCACACCCCTAGGCCCTGCACTCTACACAGCATACTACTGAACTCTGCACTCTGTGCATAGCATACCCCTAGGCCCTGCACTCTGTACACAGTACACTCCTGAACTCTGCACTCTGTGCATAGCAGACCCCGAGGCCCTGCACTCTGTACACAGCACACTCCTGAACCCTGCACTCTGTGCATAGCACACTCCTAGGCCCTGCACACTCTGTACACAGCACACTCCTGAACCCTGCACTCTGTGCATAGCAGACCCCGAGGCCCTGCACTCTGTACACAACACACTCCTGAACCCTGCACTCTGTGCATAACACACCCCTAAGCCCTGCACTCTGTACACAGCACACTCCTGAACCCAGCACTCTGTGCATAGCACACTCCTAGGCCCTGCACTCTGTACACAGCACACTCCTGAACTCTGTACTCTGTATGTAGCGCACCCCTAAAGTCTTTGAAGTTAACCTAATGCTGATGCGGCCCGTGATGAAACTGAGTTTGACACCCCTGCTTAAGATGAAGGGAGAGGATAAAGTGATCACACTGTCATCTACAGTCAGTTCTGAGCCGTTGTGGATTTGTAGATGTCAGTCAAATGATCTTTGGGCTCGGTTACTTCATTTTTTCACATTTGCTTTTTACAGAAATAAAGATTTTCCACACTTTATGACCATATGAAAATGCTGGCTGTCTGACGAGGAACGGTAGGTGGGAACGTACATAGATCATCCAAGCTTTATAACGATCCTTCAGGTTGTACAATACAGCCGGCTCGTGCAGGTGAGTCAACATCGCCATGTCCTCAATCTTATCGAACTTGGGTGGATTCATGGGGTACACGTTGTCTGGCTTCACTGTGACCGTCTGATGTAAAAAAAAAGAAAAGAGATGGAGAGAGATGGGGGGGGGGGGGAGAAAGGGAGAGAGAACAAAAAGAAGGGCAAGGGAGAGAGAGTAAGGGAGAGCAATTGAAAGGGAAGGCAAGGAAAAGAGGAAGGAAGAGCGAGGGAGAGGGAGAGTAAGGGAGGGCGAGGGAGAGAGAGGAAGGGAGACCAGGGGGTAGAGAGAAAGTGAGAGATTGAAAGGGAGGGCAAGGAAAAGAGGAAGGAAGGGCGAGGGAGAGAGAGAGGAAGAGGGGACAAGGGAGAGAGAGGAAGGGAGGGCAGGGGGTAGAGAGAAAGTGAAAGAGATTGAAAGGGAGGGAAAGGAAAAGTGGAAGAAAGAGCAATGGAGAGAGAGAAATGGAGAGGAAATGAGGGCATAGAAGAGTGAGAGGAAGGGAAGACAAGCAAGACAGAGGAAGTGAGAGAGATTGAAAGGGATGGAAAGAGAAAGAGGAAGGAAGGGCGAGGGAGAGAGAGAAATGGAGCGGAAAGGAGGGTGAGGGACAAAGAGGAAGAGCGGGCGAGAGAGGAAGGGAGGGCAAGGGAGAGAAGAAGGGAGGACAAGGGAGAGAGAGGAAGGGAAGGCAGGGGGTAGAGACAGTGAGAAAGATTGAAAGGGAGAGCAAGGAAAAGAGGAAGGAAGGGAGAGAGGGAATTGAAGGAATTAGGAGGGCGTGGGAGAGAGAGGAAGGGTGGACAAGGGAGAAAGAGGAAGGGGAGAGGAGGAAGAGAGAAGAAGGACAGAGAAGGGAGAGAGAAAAGGGGGAGAGAGAGAGAGAGGAATGGAGGACAAGGGAGAAAGAAAGGGAGGGTGAGGAAGAGAGAAAGAAATGGAGGGGAAGGGAGGACAAGGGAGAATGAGGAAGGGAGGATGAGGGAGAGAGAGAAAGGGAGGGCAGGGGGTACAAAGAAAGGCATTGCAGAGAGTAGAGAGGACAAGGGGGAGAGAGCGAAAGGGGGAGGGGGAAAGAAAGAGTTGAGGAAAAGAAGGAGTGGAGAGGGAGAGAGAGTAAGGAAGGGTTGGTGAGTAGTAGGAGAAGGAGAGAGACAAATGGGGGTGGGAATAGAAGGGGAAAGGGAAGAGGGCAGAGAGGAGAAGATGGGGAGGGGTTTTGGAGTGTAGAAAGGATAAGGGTAGATAGATTGAGAGGGTGTGAGGAGGGGGAGATTGAGATATTGAGAGAGCTGATACAATACCTATCAGAAACATTTGTATAATTTTGATTGTCTAGTAGCAGAAATAAAAGATAAAGGAAGAGCTGGAGGAGAGCCAGACAATCCAAACTCTGCAAATACCACAATTAAACTGACATCAGATCTGATCGTTCAGCTTGTCCTGCCCCCACCGAGCACTTACTGGCATCGGGGAATTAAAAACTAACACATGTATACCTCCCAGCCTTTAATATTAAATGATATTTGTTTTTAAATTTTCAAACAGATGAATTGTTCTTCTCACTTCAACAGACAGCTGGTCAGGATCTTCCAGAATCCTCTGCACTGTTTGTGGTTCGCTTCTGTCTCATACATCCTGAGATCAGATGACATGCAGTCTGTGGTATAGGGTTTTTGGCATTCCAGCTTTTCTCAACCTGTTATTAAGGAACCCCTATTAAAACTAATTCATCAGTGTCAGTGGGAAAAATTCCCCGTAAAGTGGTCAGTGGGAAGAATGCAACGAATACAATGGTGGTCTGAATACCCCTCTTACAGACAGCTAATAGGATCATTGGTATCATTCCATGCTGCTGGCTTTGCAAATGGCGCTGACCCTGAAAATATACAGGCACTATCAGGTGGGAGGTCAGTCAGTCATATCTCAAGGACTCCTAGTAACCTCTGGAGGAACCCTAGAGTTCCATGGAACCCTGGTTGAGAAATGCTGCCACAGACAGTAACCAATTTATTTAAACAGAAATGGATGCTGTTGACCCTGAATATGCATTGGGTTTTTTTGTGATCTGTCTACAAATAAAAAGAACTGATCAATGTTGGTATTTCATGAAACTGGTCAGTACAGGAGACATTTCTATAATAAATACTGGGTGACATACAGCATTACTGGCATCCGGCCTCACCTACCTTGCCTTCCTCAGTTTCTACAGTGGTTTTTCCAGCCTCGGTGCTTTTAATCTTTCCCTGGATGTACTCCACAGTGGGGTCGGTGACATAGCAGTAGGTCTTGGCATCAAAAGGCTGGTTCTGGGCCTCGATGCGCTCTTTTTCAGGCTTCCGGAGAAAAGGAGCCGCCACCCCCGAAGGCCATCATCTCCTGGTCACTCATGGTGGCAGCTGGAAGGAGAGTGAGGGTGGGAAGGTTCTAAGATGGCATACAGAATGGAACCCCTATGTGCCATTGTGTCATTGCTCTACGACCCTTAAGTGTCATGGTTCTGGACCACAAATGTCAGTGTGTCATGGCAAGAACCCCTATGTCCAAGTCTTATGGCAAGAATACATGGTAAGAAAATCGACCGATCAGCGTTCATTTGTTGGTCGAAATCATGGCACACATTAACCAATTGAAAAAAATCATTCATCGAGCTATACATAGTATTGATGTCTTCCGTACAAGTGGAAGTGATACAGTGTCTATGTGGCCTTTTAGCCACGCCATTCTGCCCAGAACGAGTGTTCAACACCCTGCCGCCCAGAACAACCGTTATCCTTTGTGACAGGAATTAGAACGTATTATTAATAGATACTTTGCGAGCTCCCAAGTGGAAGCATCTTTGTACGCCCATTGTAGGACAATCTACTTTTAACATCTGGATTTTTCGTTCGTGTTTACGAAGATTCCTTGAACATAAACATCCGGGTCATCTTCTGTTTCCGTTCATGCGTGATAGCGCTTGATAGATTTTTTTCAGACGACCGTCAAACCACCACATAGAAAACCGTTTGTTCGCATACGAAACTACAAAATTGTTCACATTTTTCACTGTTGTTCAACCGGAATGTTTCGTTCACAACATCATTATCGGTTATACCATCTTGCTCATCAACGAAGGGAAAATTGGTTGATCATTTGATCAACGACATTTTTTGTTCGATTTTCTTACCTGCCGTATTCCTGCCATTAGTGTGTCACTGTTCTGGGACCGCAAGAGTCAATGTTTCATTGTTCTGGGAGATCTGTGTTTCCTTGTGTCATTGTTCTGGACAAATGTCAGTGTGTCTTTGGTCTGGCACCAGCAAGTATCAGAGTGTCATTGTAATAAGACCCTCAAGTTTTAGTGTTTTTTTGTTCTCACTTGGGTGTCTGTTAGTGGGTACATAACCAATGCTATGTCAATATTAGAATTCTAATCTGGTGTCTGTACATTGTACCATTTGTGTTCATTCTGGGATCCCCAAAGATCAGTCTGTCATTCTTTTAAGAAGCCGAAGTGTGTCAGTGTGTCACTTTTTGGACCCCCAAGTGTCAGTGTTATCCTGCCGGGATGCCCAGGTGTCAGTATGTCATTGTTCTGGGATATACCAGTGTCAGAGGGTCATTGTTCCCTCCCCCAAGTGTTGCTGTGCCATTTTATTGGACCCCAAAGTGTCATTGTTCTTGATCCCCCAAATGTTAATTTTATTTTTACTTGATTCCCCAAATGTCAGTGTCATTGTTCTGGAAGCCCAGGTGTCAGCATACCATTGTTTTGGACCCTCAAGTGTCAGAGTGCCATTGTTCTGGACTACCAGTGTCTGTGTATCATTGTTCTTGGACCCAACCCCCACCACCACGCCCACCCCCAAGCACCAGTGTGTCATTTTTCTGGGCTATCAGTGTCTGTGTATCATTGTTCTTCGACCCAACCCCCCCACCACCCCCACTTCCAAGCATCATTGTGTCATTGTTCTGGGCTATCAGTGTCTGTGTATCATTGTTCTTGGACACAGCCCCCCACCCCCAAGGGTCAGTGCATCATTGTTGTGAGTCCTCTTATCAATGTGTCATTGTTTTTTGGATCCCAGTGTCAGGAAGTCCATGTTCTTGGACTCCCAAGTGTCAGTTTTTCCATTCTTCTGACCCCTTAGTGTCACTTTGTCTTTATTTTGGAAGCCCCCTCCCCAAATGTCTGTATGTCATTGTTCTGGATCCCATGTGTCAGAGTGCCAGTTTGTGTCATTGTTCTGGGACCTCCAAATGTTACTTTGTCATTGTTTTGGGATCCCAGTGTCAGGGTGTCTATGTTCTGGGACCTCAAGTTGTCAGTATGTCATTGTATGGGATCCCCCACCCCAAGTGTCTTTCTTCTGGGACCCCCAAATGTTAGTGTGTCATTTTTCTTTGACCAACAAGATTCAGTTTGTCAGTGTTCTGACCTCCTTCCCCCCCAGTATCAGTTTTACCATTGTTCTTGGATGCCCAAATCTCAATGTGTCATTGTTCTCAAGGGGCAGAAGCATCATAAGTTGCCCCTCACCACTATACAGAAAAGGCCAGACACTGAGTAGAAAGATGTGCACGATATCCTCTAATTTCATCCTGAGCTGTCAGCATTGACGGGTTTTTATGGCTCGGCTGGTTCTTCCTGACGACACAGTAAATAGACAGAAGACAGTTCTAGGGTCTTCATCATGTCTGCAGAATGTGCAGCACTCAGTTTATTGAGTACTTGTAAGACCTGGGTGCTATTTCAGTATCAGAGACCTAATCCGCTGTCTGTACATCGCTAAGTGCCAATGCCTGACAGCAAGTATATCATTTGTGATTGTTTTGGGACTCAAAAGTATCAGTGTATCATTGCTTTAGGACCTCCAAGTGTCAGCCTATCATTTTTCTTGGACCTTCAAGTGTCAACGTGTTATTTTTCTGGGGCCACCAAGTATAAATGTGTCATTTGTTCTGGGACCGCTAAGTGTCAGCATATCACTGTCCTTGGACCTTCAAGTGTCAATGCGTCATTGTTCTGGAACCCCCAAGTGTTAGTGTGACATTATTATGGACCCCATATGTCAGTGGGTCATTGTTCTGGAACCCCTGGATATCAGTATGTATGTGTTCTGTGACCCCCAAGTGTCAGTGTGCCATTATTTTTCACCCTAGGTGTCAGTGTGGCACTGTTCTGGGACTCCCAAGTATCAGTGCATATGTGATCTGCCCTCTCCCCCCCAAGTCCCTTTTCTGAACCTCAACTGTCAGTGTGTCATTGTTCTGGAACCCCAACATTATTATTATTATTATTATTATTACTACGAGTTTATATAGCGCCAAAGGGTTTGCTCAGCGCTGTACAATAGGGGGGGACAATACATGGCACAGTACAACAAAGACAGACAGTGTACGAGGGGTAAGAGGGCCCTACTCTTACGAGCTTACAATCTAGGATCTCAGTATGTCATTGTTTTGTAACCTCCAACTGTCAGCATGAAACTGTTCTGACATTTGATTGACACTCACAAGTATAGTAGGCTCACAAACCCAACACACCAGGATGAAGCTGTGGGCTGAACGAAAAAAAACAATGGATTCCTCCATTCATACAAAAAGGTGGATGGAATCTACCTGCTGGGAGATTGTATTCTAACAGCGGCTACTGTCAGAAAACACTGATCAACGGCTCCAATCGAGCACATTTTTCCAACTTCTATGAATGATCAATTTCTTTCAATTAGGGATCCCTGCTGAACCAAACAAATTTTGATCAGTGTATGGCCAGCTTATAGTGGAACTAATGGAAGCTATTCTGATCTTTCCTTCAATGGTCCTTGTCCGTACCGGTATCTTTTTCTGTGTGCTAGTTTTGGGCCATCCTGATTGGCTGGAGCAGAACGACGTATACACAGGAGCTAGTCATCCTGGCACATGGGGTTCAGGCTGAAGCTGTATACTGAGCTGCGCATGCACCACTCAGTTTACATGCGGGGAACGCTGAACACAGGCAGGTCAGTACATCTTATTGCAGAAGTGACATTGCATGTCTCTTCTGCAATAAAAGAACCTGCCTGCTTGCAGTGAATATCAGCAGAACTTTACTTCTGCTTTATAAATCCTTATTTTCAAAAAAGTGATAGATCTTTACAGTTGGGTCCAAGGGCGGACTGACAAATCATGGGGCCCCCGGGGCAATAGGAGATCATGGGGCCCCTGTGTCCTTGCCCAAACTCAAAAAAGCCAATGAAAAAGGTACCAGGGACATCTCATGGGGCCGCCTACTGACCCCAGGCCCTCGGGCACTGCCCGAGTTTCCAAATGGTCAGTCTGCCCCTGGTTGGGTCTAAAGAAAATGAAAATGACAGTCATGTGGCTAAATATAGAGTGCTTTAGGCTGGCTATACCCAAGCCATTTTCTTTCGTTCAACCAGCAAGTTGAATGAAAGACAATGGCTTGTGTACAGGGGCGGACTGACAACTCATGGGGCCCCGGGCAATAGGTGATCATGGGGCTCCTGTGTCCTTGCCCAAACTCAAAAAAGCCTATGAAAAAGGTACCAGGGGCATCTCATGGGCCCCCTACTGACCCGGGCCTTCAGGCAGTGCCCGAGTTTCCAAATGGTCAGTCCGCCCCTGCTTGTGTATGTCCAGCCTAAGGCGCTCTATTCCCCCATTGTCATATTTCACATGACTGTCATATGCCTTTAAGTGTTCTTTGTATTTTGTCTCTGCTCCTCCCTTTCCTCCGGTTTAGTTCTTGCTGTATAGATAGCACCACCCTTTTTCCCAGTAATGCATTTCAGCTTCTAGCCTCGCGTCTTATGGAAGTAGATCACATTATGATCTTTTGACCTATCCGATGTTAATTGTTGTAAGATTCTCTCAGTTTATGGAATAAACTTCACAAGATCTACAAGATGTTATCTGGATTGAGTCACTGCCTGTGTTATTCAACTAAGATTAGAGTTATGCTATCTCATCACAACTGTAAGTTACAGAGATCACACTTTCAATGCTTAGATTGGAGAGACAGAACACTCATCCATGTGGACTCGATGTGGATTAGGGAATCCCTCCTGCTGAGCGTTTGTATTTTGACAGTGGAGAGATTTCCCTGCCATCAGAATACACTGGTTATAGCCAGTGGCGCTGATTGAGAGAAGAATTTCCAAGAGCCTGGTTGCACACAAATTGATCGATAGATCAACTTGTGTGCAACCAGCCTGCCCATACAGAGATCAAAGTTTGGACTTGTTGAACCGGCCAAAGTTTGATATACAGTATGTATGGCCAACTTTAGGCTGGTTCAAAAGCTTTGTGTATTAAACCCATGTTAATCTGTGCAAACACAGACCAATAGATTTTGGCTCCATTTACAAAAGAAACCCCTTTCCCTATGAAATACTTCAGAATGTCCT